GGGAAAGAGCTGAATGTAATAAAAACTAAAAGCAGCTAATGTCTAAAAAGATCAAAAACTTCACTAGTAAGCAAAGAAATGCAAATTAAACAACAGGGATATATCATTGCCTGTCAGATTGACAAAGTTCAATTATTATTTTTACTCAGAATTAACAAGAGTAGAAGGAACTGAGAGAAGGAATACAAACTGGTACAACCTTATGGAGCTTCAGATACAACAGTGAGGTTAGTAAATATATTGACTTTAAATATATCAATGTTAAACATGTTAATCTCTTTGATTCACTTTTTGTCCTTGTTAATTTTTAAAAATTTGTTATAACCACTTTATAGAGGTATGATTGACATATAAAAGCTGTATATATTTAATGCATGTAACTTGAGTTTGGAGATAAACATACATCTGTGAAATCATCAACACAGTTTATGCAATATTATATCCATCACCTCCAAAAGTGAGTAAATCTCATGAACCTTTTTTCCCCTGGGAATGTATCATAAGGGAATAATGTAACTCAAATACATAGATGTTTGGTGCAGGTTCTTCTGGGTTTAGTTTGTTCTTTTTATTTATTTATTTTTCTAAGGCAGAACCTTATATCATTGATTTTTTTCTCTAGTATAAGCTTTTAAAACTATAAATATCCCCCATGCATTTAACAAACTTTAATATATATTTTAAAAATTATTCTAGCCAAAACATTTTTCTAATTTGTGCTTTCTTTTTTGAATCATGAATGGTTTGGGAACTGAGTTACCTTATTTCCAAGTATTTAAGTCTTTTCTATAATCTTATTTTTAATTTATAATTCTGTTGTGGTCAGAGAACATACTCTGCAAAATTTCAGTCTTCTGAAATCAATCTCGGTGACCATTCCATGTGCACTTGAAATAGAGATGTATTTGCTGTTTGGGGTGCTGTTTGGCCTGTAAAAAGCATTAATGGGGTTTATTAATAGGGTTGATTGTGTTGTCAAGATCTTCCAAGGCTTTAGTAACCTTTTCAAAGTTATTCTATCAACTACAAAGAGATACCTGTTAAAATCTATAACTATGAAGGTAAATTTGTTTATATTTTCCTAAGTGTTGTAGGTTTTTGTTTCATGTATTTTGAAGCTCTGCTATTAAGCACATGATCAACTTCTAATGTATTGATCTTTTATCACTGGAAAGAGTCCACCCTGTGTCTGGTAATACTCCTTGTCTGCAGGTCATTTTGAATGATTGAGATAGCCACTCTGGCTGTCTTAAGCTTCATGTTTTCATGGTAGACCTTTTTCCATCCTTTTACTTTCAACAGATTTGTCTTTGTAGTAAAGAGCTTCTCTTATACGCAGCATGTGGCTACTTCTTGCTTCTGAATCAGTCTGACGGTCTTTACAATCTCTGCCTTTTGTAAGATAGCTTTGTCCATTTAAACTAAATACAATTACTAATATAGTTTCACTTGATTTTGCCATTTTATTTGTTGTCTATTTGTTTCTTGAATATTTTTATTCCTTTCTTTCTCCTTTATTGTCTTACTAGAGGCCCGATGCACGAAATTCGTGCAAGAGTAGGTCTTCACAGCCCCGGCTTCCTCTGGACAGTCGTTCAGCCATTTGGTCGATTTGCATATTATGCTTTTATTATTATAGATTATTTGAATCAATTATTTTTTTAGTATTACATTTCAATTTCTCCTTTAATTTCCTATATATTTACTTACATTATTTTTATTTGTTTCTCTAGGCATTATGGTATACATCTTTAATTAAGTAGATTGTAATAAAAGTTACAAATTGCTTCAAGGAAAATATATTGTAGCCCTGCAGCAATATATTTCCATTTATCCCTCCTCTCAATCCTGGTGGAGTGAGATGTGTGTTCTAAGCAAAGTGAACAGTATATCCAAAGACATGGAAATCTAGGGGAACATGCTGTGATGGGAGGATTAAAGTAGTCCAGAATGGTTGGAGCAAAACAGGAGAGAGTAGAGGCTAAAAAGATAATTAGGGGAATGATTTATGAGGGGTATGTAAACTGTGATAAGCTGTTTGCACTTTATCCTGAGGGCAATGACCAGCCATTAAAGTGTTTTATGAAAGGAGCGATATGATCAGATTTACATTTTGGGAAGATTAATCTCACTGTGGAAATAAAAATATAGACTTGCAGGAGAGAAAAACATGAGGCTGGAAACTCAGAAATCTGTTGCTTTAATTCAAGCCAGAATAAAAGTGCTCTCGATCAGGGTCATAGAAGTAGGCTGGGGTAAATGGACAGATTCCAGAGAAGTTTTGAAGCAGAATAGAAATGCTTTAGTTAAGGATTGGCTGTGAGGAGAGAAAGAGGCAAAGATGATTTTGAGCCTTTTGTCAAGTGGATGGGACCTGGCCATTCACTGAGATGGCAAGCTTAATAGCAGTAACAAAATCTGGAATTTCTGGTTCCTTTCTATCTGTCTATCACTGGGCCAAGATGTGTGGGTTCCCTAGGCA